CCCTCCCCTATTTACAAAGACTTTGTTTCCATTTTCTCCTTTTCTCATATTTTTTCTTGTCCCTTATTTCCTTTCCCCTACCCTTTCCACTTCCCCTACACCTTTAGCCCTTTTCTTCCTATTTCATGTTGTCAGTTATACAATTTGGATGAAGGGGCTTTAAATTCGATTCCTTAGATCAATTTCTCCTCTACCCAGTGTGTCCACCCTTAGAGTGAGTATTTTAAATTGATGCCCAAGTCAACAAAGCTCTATATGGCTGCCAGTCTCTTCAAAAAGTGAATGGCTTTGACTTGAGTGCAGTGGCAGTCTAAACTTCTTGTCCATGGTAACACGGGCATAAGAATGTTCTCGACCCCGCTTCTGATAAAAGTGTCTCTGGGCTGGGCTGTGCTGGGCCGTGCTGGGCTGGGCTGAATTTCTCAGTGATTGTTTTATCATTGGTAGGTGGCCTGAACACTGAGAGACTGGATATCTCAGGTTCAGTGATGCTGGTAGCATCAGGAGTGTGCCCCAGCGGCCCCATCACTTCCTTCCTGCAACCATCTTTCCTCTCATTCATCACTGATCCACCCACCTCCGAGCTTTCCCTGCTGACTTCCTAACTCTGTCAGAACTCTACACACCATAAGACTTTGCCAGAACGAAGGAGCCAACATTTCTACACAGATTCAACCTCACCCTGACCTGGCTTTCCAGCAAGCAGCGCCCACGCCTACTGGATTTCTCATCTGTGCTCCAAATAATGTTGTACAAGTGCTGAAAGTAGCACCTCCCTCTGCCCCAGCTGGCTGGATCTGGCTCATTCTCCATTCCTGCAAGAAAATGTCTTACTGGTAGGAACAAGTAATTAGTTGGGTCAAAGCAAAAGCATGTCATGTAATTGAACTCTTTGAAGTCAGTTTTTTCAAGTTCCTGGCCCACTTGGCTAGAACACCAGAGAGAAGCATGCCTCTAGATTCTCCAGTGACAAAGATCCTTAAGCATGGACTAAAATGCTCTCTGGAGCTTAACACTCTGGACTAGATTCCCATAGGTCTCTGAGGCCTGTACTGGACACAGTCCTGAGAATCCAAGGGCAGGAGACTTGGGAAGGACCAAGGGCAATTTAAATGGCTCAAAAAAGCCATACAACACATTCCTGATCTTACTGGGATGATGGATGTGTGCCCTTCTTAGAGAGTGTATCGTCTGTGGATTTGGACTGGAATGCCTAAAGTCTTCCTCTCAAAATATCTGTGGATCAGTATTATTCCTCATTTTACAGGAAGCAACTGAGATTCACACAGGGCTTAAATGGATGAGAAACTTGAGACAAAAGGGAGCGGTGATAAGCTTTAGGTGCTGCCCCGTTACTTCCAGGGATAGACTGTTTTGTCTTTGAAAAGACTTTGACATTGAGCTTGGCTATAGCTACGCCTCTTGCAGAAGCATAAATTTGGGGTGGATGATCCAGCTGGGGTTAACTATGATAGATCCTAGAAACTAGAAACTGGCCAAGAAAGCAGAGATGCGGACATGAGATAGGCCAAGGATTTCCTACAAAAATTTGTGAATATGAAATATCTTTCAGAATGAGATTACATCTTAGAATGATATTCAAATTAAGAGAAATGCCTTTTAAGATGAGCATTTTCACACATGCTTACAATCTGAGAGGCTGAGGCAGGAGGATCATGAGTTTGAGCCCTCTTTGGGCAATTTAGTAATACAGAAAGACCCTTTTTGAAACAACAACAATAACAACAACAAAATCCTGGGGATGTAGCTCAGTGTGAAGGCCCCAGGTTCAATCCCCAACCAAAGAGAAAGACAAAGAAAAGAAAGGTTTTTAGTCTGAAATAGATGGTGAACAGAGTGATAGAGGAAAGATAGTGGCTCCAAATACCTCACCCATGAATCTGTAATGTTCAGAGTGGTTTGTTCTTTTCCTCCTAGGTTTTTTCCTTGTAGCGAGAGCTGAGAAACAATGAAAAAATCTTACTCAAAATTTTATTTTCATTTTAATTTGGTGACTGGCCCAGGCCCAACACCCTTTAGCACCTACTGATAAGTGAAAGTACATAGGAAGATAAAGTGTCTAGGATTCAATAAAAGCAATGTTCCTCAGATCTGGGGAAATATATAGGGAAGACCTTCTCTGTTGGCTTTGGACTTCACCTGACAAATTAATTTTTCCTTATCTCTTCCATCTCTTGGGACATATTTAAAACAAGACCTTTCACACATTTTAAAGAATCCCATTTTCTTGAAAATATATGCAATAAATTCAAGACTCTTATTGGTAATTTTCCACACTATCCTTTTGAAGTAGGAGACATAATATGGGACATTTTTCTGAGTTTTATGAAAATAGGCCTGAGTTAGTGGGAGGCTTACTCATCCACAGGCTGGCTGACCCCAGAACTTGCAGCAGCAGCAAGTGGGTAGTACGTCTAACTTGTAGCCACTTATTATGCATGGCTTCCTTTTTCTCTTCTTTTTAAATAACCTGACTCGGATGTTTTTCTGAGTTATTTTTAATGAAGTTGAATAATATTGGCCACTTATCCTTTATGAGTATCTTCTCTCTTTTCCTAACTTTACATCTCTTTTCATCCTTCATGCTTTTCTTACAGCTATTTGGCTTGCAAAGACTTTTCATTGCAATTATTTGATTTCATCTCCACAACTGCCCCAGCAAAGTGAGTGTTACTAACACTCAGTGAAGAAGCTGAAGCTTTCTGATGTTAAAGCTTCATCCAATTACCAGGTTACCTACCGGATCAACAGAGGTGGAACCTGGGTCTTCTGACTCCTCTGTTCCAGGTATCTTCCCACACAGACCAGATATGCTTCCTTCATTAACTTCCATCCAGCTCTTCACTTCTTTTGCTTGTCCTGATGTTCACTGTGCTCTTTTAGCCATAATCTCACTCTCTTCTTTCTCTACCCTTTTGCTTCTTGGTGGATACTAGAAATGTGTGTTGACTTGATCCCCATCTAGCTCTCTTTCTAGTTGGTTTGTCATTATTTCTCCTGAAATGCAATTAAACTCCTTGCTGGCAGACTTGATCATGACTATAAGTGTACAAGGTACTGTTATCACCAGCTTACTTAAAATCCTCACCCATCTTGTTTCTCCCCATATTCATATATGAGACCCGGGCTAAATATGTGTAGCACTGGAAGCTTTATCTGGTGTGCTGTTGCTTATTAAAGGGCTTAGAAGAGTTCTCAAGGGCTATAATCACTTTAGAAACCCCATCTGTTGTCTTGGTGCTGCGTATTCCCTATGACTGATGCTCAGTAATACAATTCACTACAGGCCTAGCAATGCTGGGTCTGATTTTTCCCTCTGTTACTGCTTAACAGCCATGAACATGATTGCTTAACACAGTTGGTCTTGAAAGCACCTTGCCCTTTTGACCTTTATGTCAGCTCAGTCTTGTAGCAAAGCCCACAACTGTGTGGAAATACTTGGGCAACCAGTGCCTGTTCCTACCCAGCCGCCTTCATTTTCCATGGTCTGTTGAACACCATTATCCTTTGGTTTTCCCATCCTCAAACTCCTGCACATCCAGACCTTCTTATGAGTCTCTGTTTTCTCCATAGATGTCAATCCAGCAATATTAGCATGAAAGGAAATTTCCAAAGCAGGAATATGCTGGGAAACGTGTAGAGTAGTGAATCATTTTAAAGGAGACTGTAATGCCTTCTTCCTCCCCCATTACTACTACATCAAAAATCAAAATATGAGCTGGGCAAGATGGCATGTGCCTATAGTCTAGCTACTAAAGCAGGTGGACCTCTTGAGCCCACGAGTTTGAGACTGACCTGGATAGTGAGGTCCATCATACACACTAGACTTTTCTTAGAATCTGTGGATTCACTTAACATGAACCAGAGGGAAAGGCTGTGTGATGGCCACCTTTGCAGAAAGAAAGAGAAATAAGGGGTATTACCGTGTAGTAGTGCACACCTGTAATCCCAGCTCTCAGGAGGCTGTGTTCGAGGCCATGAGTTTGAGGCCAGCCTGGGCTACATAGTGACTTCAAGGTCAGACTGAACTACATAATGAGACCCTGACTCAAAGAAACCAACAAAACAAAACAAAATACTAGATATACTTCAAATATATATTATTTTCCTTTTCCCAATTTCACATGAAAATGGAAAAACAGATAATGTGAGGAGGGGGGAAGCCACCTTCTCCTTACCTTTCTGTAAACGAGAAAGCCTAAGCTCAGTGGATTTACTCAGTCACTGTAAATGTGTCTATCTGAAAAATACTTCATGTGCTTGCTCATCAATCTCATCATTAACCCTGCAAACATTTCTCAGCACCCACCATGTCAAGAACTCACCCAGGCCCCATGATCTTAGGTCTGAAAAACAGCATCATTCAAGCCTCAACTTCTAAAAGCTAATGTGGTCAACACCTATTGTTTAAATCAGCCCACTTCCTCCTACTTGAGTTTACTACAGTTCAGACTCCACCTCTTTGTAGGCCAGCTACACCTCAGAGCCAGTACCCCTGTGCTTTCTCTGTCACCACCAGGCCAGAGCTGCAACACTTAGGCAGTCTGTGTAAAGGGAGGTAAGACTGAAGAACTTGTGCTCATAAGTTTGTAAAATGAAATGCCACCAAACATAATTAGCAAACAGTCTTGTGACAGATGGAACGTTGTCACCTTCATGTTGCATTTTCTTGATTTTCTACAGCCAGTCTTTCTGAACTGTAATAACATTGTTCCTGACCACCCAAGACCTCATCAGCCTAATGCCTGTATGTAGTGTTTTTCAATAAATTCCTAGTTCATGTCAATAAAATGTCTCTAAAAATCACTGGCTCCTTTTGCTCTACTGAGTGTACCTGCTACATAGACTATGGCTTCCACCTAGCACCCCAAACTGCATCACTTTCTATACCCAATCAGTTTATGTACCCAGAGAAGGGAAAATGTACATTATAGGCTAGAATGAAATGTACACTAAATGTGTGATCTAGCGTTTTCTTTTTCTTTGTTCTCCTACCCAAATACAAAAGGATACAAGAGGAATTTGCGTTCTTGCCGGGGTCAAATAAGTTTTCTAGCCAGATGGTAAGGAAACAAGTGCAAGGAAGATCTAATGAGGGGATACACACTGGCCCTCAGCTCTACCACTTTAGGCAACGTAAGGCCATGTCTCCCATGTCCATGGTCCTGGAAGTACCAGATCATGAAAGGGAAGAGTACAGCAAGAAACTCTCAAGATTCAGTCTACCACAACTCCTACTGTGACCAACTGAAATTTAAAGTTGTCTCCAAGCAGTACCTGCCACCATACTGAGATATAAGTGCACGTGTACTTTTAAAAAACATTTATGTTATCTCTAAAGCACTAAGGACTGGAGTAGAAGAAAGTGGAGCCAAAGGCCACAATGCTGGTAAACAATGATGCTGCAACTTTAACTCGTCTGACCCCAGAACTTACGCATTATGCTTGATAAGGCTCATTCCTGGCCTGAGTAGATGAGTTGCTGTGAGCATATCTGAGAAGACCAGAAACATTTGGGATGTTGAGCTCAGAAGACTCAAAGCAATAAACACACACACCATTATTTGTAATTCAATACTTTTTTCTTTTAATTCATACTGTACTTCCATGGCTCTAGCTACTTTACATTAAGATTTGGCTGGATAGCCTTGTATGTTTCTAGGTACTAGCAGTAAGTTTTCAGACCTTGCGCACAGCGCCAGGCAAAGTACAGTTACAGATCCAAATACAGACGGCCAGACAATTCAACTGCAATCCATCTGTGTTCTTTCCTGTATATATGGCCCAGTGCAGGTGTTGGGGGCTGTTCCCTCTGCCTCATCCCACTCCACTCCATGTCAGGATTATGTAGGGGCTGATATGGCCTCTGATCCAACCCTCCCCACCTTGGAGCCTAGGTTGAGGGGTGGGGGGAAGCACCATGGGTTTGGGAAGATGGGTCTGGTCCATGCAGAGAGTGGTCTGGCCCTAGAGTGCAGGGTAAGGAAATGTGGGGAGACACATTCTTTCATTGGCAAAAATGGTTACTTTTACTGTGCAGTCTCTGCACACAGCAACCAAGCCCAGGGCCAACTCCCCAGGCAGAGCCAGCTGTCCTGCCTGGGGCATGCCCTACCATTTCGCTTCCACAATGTCTTATTGTGTTGAGAGAAGCAAGAAGGGCCAAGGGGCAGAGATGATTAAGTCCTTCAAGCCTTCATATGTTGGGGAGATTGTCTGGCATCAACAGATCTTGGCAGGCAAGGTGCTTCTCACCAGGAGCCAAAGCTCCAATCTGGGTTCCCAGGCCTGCTGAGGACCTCGAGTCTCAAGACCCCTGAGCTGTTGCACAGAACATCAAAACAGGGGGCTGGCTGGGCCCATCACAGCCATGGCCGGAACAGGAATGAGGTAACAAGGCTGGGCAGAGAGGTGGGAGAGGGAGCTCTCTACACCATGTGCAAATTCCTGCTCCACATCAGGAAAGCAAGGGTGCTGAAAGATGGCCTTCCAGAAATACACTCCTTGTAGACCCAAAATGCATCTTCTGCAAGAAGACATAGAGGTGAGAGGAAGTGGGGCCAGCCTGCTGGAGCTTGGGGGAGGAAGGATCGAGAATGTCAAGAGGTGAATGGGATGACTGCCCCACAACCTAGACTAGGGGTAGAGAACGCGGTCAGGAAAAGGTCTTTGCAATTCTTACTGGAGTGCAGAGGTGGGGCCCAGGAGTTCCGAGAAGGAGACCATAGCCCTGTCATGGAGGAGGAGAAGAATGCTATTTCTCCTGGGGGCCCTAGCAGGAATGGGCTGGCTTTGGCTACACTGCAGAGCTAGAGAAGTGGTATCATATGGCACAGAAAGGACCTTTCTGGGACCACAAACAGTCCAGAAAGATTCCATCCCTAGTCATTTCTCCAAGATCTTATCTTAGAGATGCTGCCTGTAATACCGTAGGTACAGTCTAAGTGTGGGGACACGGACAGGACATGGAGAGAATCCACTTCAAGCAAAGCATTCCTCATAAGGCCTCGATCTTCCTATTCCTTGTAACTCTAGGTTCTTAGTGCCAGTGCCCTTAGGCAACCCAAGGACTTTATCTAAACCCCAGCAGGGTGTTGGTTGAGCCAAAAGACATGCTAGAACCATAAATGGCTTCTCTCCACTGTGTCCTCTGTCAAGGAGGAACAAGGATGGACAGATGAAAGGCTTCACAGTGCCTAGAGATGGAAGATAGGCTCAGTCCACGATGTGGCTCTTCTTGCCATCATTCTCTTCCTTCTAGCTTAGAGGAAGTTGCCTTCCCAAACAAAAACCAGGCCAAAGAAGGAAGAAACACTCCCAGGTTAATACTGAGCAATATTCTCTCTACCACTGGGCCTTTCTATCCTTCCTCAACTCTGAGAATAAAGTCTAACTGCCTTAGGTTTCTTGAGAACCCACACACTGCCTTACTGTCTTCTATGCACCAGAGAAGCTCTAGCCTGGCAGACTATTCCATCCTGGCAGGGAACCTTCCAGTTCTGAGCAAGCCCAGTCTTGCAGGCTCTGGTCTAATCTAAAGTCAAAGTCAAAGCTACAGCCTGCCCTAGAGATAGTCTATCTCAGTCTCCTCCAGTTAGAGGCATGTACTGAGGCTCTGCAATGGGGAATAACTTGGGCTTAGTCTCCTGAACCTTTTGGTTCAGTGTTCTTTCTGAGTCAATGATCTTGCTGGCCTGGGATGTTGGCCCCTGGTCCTGAGGAGGTAGACAGGGTAGGGAGAGAGTTGCAGACATGACTGGCTTTTCTGAGGCCAATCTGGCCATTTCCTCCACTGTAAGCTGGAGGGGAGGGTACACACTATAATTGTGCTTCCCCTGGTTAGAAATTGTGACTTCCTTACAATTAAGTGCAAAGTCTCATGTGTGTTATAATATGAATACTCACAGATAAACATCCATGTGATCCCAGTGTTCCCGTGTCAACAGAAGCAAAACACACTGGCATGGAGAAGTAACACAAGAAGCAGTGGCTTTGATGCTTTCTTGCAGACAGCTACACACCAGGCTACTAGCCGGGGGTCACAATGCCACGTGTTTGTCTCACTCTCAGACTTGTCCGAAAGGTGAGCTTTTTTGTCTTTCACAAGTCATTAAGGGGAATCATGCTTTGCTTGGGAATGAATAGAGTTGGTATGCTGGCTTAAAAGCCAAAACAACTATTAGAACAGAGAGAGCTCACAAGAGATCCGTGACACATGTCTTGTGGGTCCAAATCAGCAGGGAATAGGAGGGCGTCTTGGACAAGTACCCCTCTCTTTCTCTACTGCTCCACCGAGTGGTCCTGAGAGGGGAGCGACACTGTGTACCTCTCATGGCCCAAGGCTACTTCTATCACTTTATACCCCGCAACCAACCACTTCTACGTCTTCCGAAAGGGTCCATGATACCTTTCATAATTAAGAAACTTGAGTAAATAATTATGTATGGGATAGATTTGAGAATTTACAATTTCTGCTCTCAAAAGTTTCGGGGAGTTCTTTTGGCTTTGAGCTACTCCAAGGGGGAAACGTTTAGCAGTCTGTACCATGCTTCCTTCCTTGACTCATTGAGCCTCACCAGTGTCTCTCCCTCAAAGCCCTGGACAAGAACTGAGAGGTGACTGCTGGTCTGAGAGCAAATGTGGCATCAATAGATCTTGGAAGGCAAGGTGCTTCTCACCAGGAGCCAAGCATTATCCTGGGCCATGCCTCACCTCTGCCTCTTGGGGAGGAATATCAGTGCTACATGACTGATGAATGACAAACTTCTCATCGTTCTGTCTTAGAGATGATGTCCTTTTGTTTTCTGGGGAAATACCAAGGTCTATTCTTGGATAGATTCAAAAGCTTTTCTTTAACTTCTAAAATGGGATGTTAAGGTCATCCTAAGGAAAGAATGTAAAATCTCTCATCACTGGGGCAGATCACTGATAAAAATCTTCCATCCTTTGTGCCGCTGTTCTGGGACACCCTGGGGTTCTCTTCTACTGCTTACATCAAGAACCTAGGAGAAAGAGCAGGCTCAGCAAACTCTCCTTGCCTTCATTAACTACAGATCACCTGACCTCTGCCTGGGGCTTGCAGGCCTCCTTGGGTCAGCATGTGGAGAACGGGCAGTGTAAGCGAACATGCCCGGAAGGGCCCCGTAAGATCTGATGAAAGCGTGGGTCCCAGTAGGCCAACTTCGAGAAGGCCAAGGCTGGTTCCCATGTCTACCCAGCACCTTCTTTCTATTCCTTAGTAACCTCATACCTCCCTGAGGCCTGAGAAGGGTATACCCTAACTTGAGACATTGGAATGGCCAATCTGGGGCAGAGATTCCATCTGGTCATTCTCTGCCCAAACACCCGCATCTATACCAAATCCTCCTCTCCACTGGCTCAGATGTTTTTCCACATGCAAAGTGTCTCAGTTGTCTCCACTGACTGAAGCTGGTTCTGAGGCAGAGACTGCACACTGGCCAGAGACCTCTCTCTCGCTCTCTCAAACCCTGGAGGGCCTAAGACACCCTGATTCATCCTGGAAATCAAACTAATAGCTTAAACTGAAGGAATTAGAGCCACAGATCTGACTTGTTCATAACCACGAAAAGGGGTTTAACAAGGTCAAAAATGCTCCACCCTGTCTAATAAACAATGTGCTCTTAGGGCACAGAGAAACAATAGGACTTTAGGCACTAAAAAGTGACACTTCGCCCAGATCCAGCCTGGGCGAAGACCAGAGAGAAAGCGAGTGGGCAAGTTAGAAATTCCCAGCCCTTTTTGGGTCCATGTCCTACCCAGGTGAGAGAAAGGTGCAGGGGTGACTGAGGAGAAACCTTCCAGAACACAAGTGCTCAGGAGCCTGCAGTTCCAAAGTCCAAGCTCATCGAAGCCCCCTCGCCAGCTTCTCCCAGCCCTCCCCTCCTGGCTCTCGGCACGGTCTGAATCATTGCCCTTCTGGGGGGAAGCTGAGATCAGGCTCCTGCCCACGATGCTTCCGTGTCCCAGAGAAGGCTTGGGGAAGTGCAGGGTAGGGAAGAACATATTCTCTTCTATTTTGGAAACAAACTGAAAGGGGATTAGGGAATGAAGCACCTTAAGCAATGCCCCCTTGAGACTTCTTTCAAGACCTGAGGGTCTTCCCAGGCATAGCTTTGGCTCAGCAACATTTCCCTTCTGGAAGCCAAGAATGGCCAGCAAGGGAAGGGGTGAGGAGCAGAGGGTAGTAGGAGGAGGATCAGGGGATGTCGGTGCTGAGAGATGCTCCCTGCCCTCCTCGGCCCCCTCCACTGAGGGGAAACGCTGCTCCGGCCAGCACAGGGGCGGGAGGTCCCGCTCCTTCTCCCTGGTATGTAGGCATTATCTCTTTTTAAAATCTGTATATAATATATATTTATATTCTGTATATATATATTTATAGGGTCTATGTACATGTATTGCACAGGCCTCCTGCAGCCACCTCTGTTCCTGCCTTGTCAGTGATAGCGGTTCCTCTTCTCGTCATTTTCTGATGTGTAGTCACGGGACCTGATGCCATTCTGAAGATTGATGAGCGAGTCTTTCATCTGTAAAATAGAGAACCCACCCCGGCCCAGGTTTGTGCTCTCAGTGCGCTTCTCCCCGTAGCAGCATCTGCCACATGCTGCTGTGGCAGCGGGTACCACCAGGCCACCGAACAAGAGGAAGCCAGGGTGGTTCCCAGGGGGCACAGTCTCAGGTAGAAAAAGGACAGCAGAGCCAGCACTGGAAACCCCTGTGAGACTTGCTGTGTCTTGGTGACCTGGGACCTTTACATGAATGAAATCAGAACTCTATGCAGTCAGGCCTCATAAGGAACCACAGTAGACTGCTATTCACTTGACCAATAAAGTCAATCTAATTCCCCAAGGGTTCTGTAAACACTGCCTACCTGTCTTTATGCATTTTTTCACCCTGCAAATCGTCACTGTTGCTTGCTCAAATCTCACTCATCTGTAGAGACCCACGGCAAATCCAGACTTCCCCTGCCTCTCCATCTCTCCCTCCTGGCCTCTCACACACCATACACAGTGCTCTGGACTGCAGTCATCTTAAGCTCTTTTGTTTCATGTGTGTGGAGACTGAAACATCCCTAACATAGCCAGAATCACCACACAGGCAGCTGTGCAGGCTTCTCTCTGGGACTCATATCTGTGAATTACCATTTTTAGGCCATGGGATGGAGTCTAAGTAGAGCACTTTCAGTTAGAGAATCATAAAAAGGCCCATCATACCATAGCACATTTAAATACTGTCTCTGACTAAGCTACTCTGTTATAACACAAGACAACATTTCCTGTAAAGGGTATGGGTTCTGGGAACATCTGATCTGGTCTCTCTCCAAATTTCCCAAATTCTTTACTGCTCTTTTAAATTGTGTTTAAAGAGAATTAAACACCTCTCAACTCTTGTAGGGCAGAGTCCATCAGGCTAAAAGCCCAACTGCCCTAAGCCCCTAGTTAAGGGGACCTACCTGAGACAGAATTCAAGACTGGAAGAGACCTTTGGGGTATCACTCAAAGTGCCCACCTTTAATTTGCAAGTCTCTTATTCAGAACCATCTTGTGATTCTCCAACGCTTTCATTGTGGGAATCTCGGTCCTCCAAAAGCGGCTGTTTCGTTGCTGCACACCTCTCACTATAAGGCATCTGTTTTTATTGGCTGGCTTAAAATGTTAATTACTTTCATTTTACAGTTCAGTCCCTTAGAATTTTATAAGAAATCTAAGCCTTCTTCACCTGTTGGCCTCAGTGTCTGGAGCCATGCTTTAGATTTGCCCCAGTGTTCCCTTCTCCATCAACTTTCTTATATAAGGGGACACCCAAACTCCCTGTTATGCTGTTTACAAACATGCCCTCCTTGAGCCAGGCGTGGTGGCACACACCTGTCAATCCCAGAACTCAGGAGGCTGAGGCAAGAGGATTGCTGTGATTTCAAGATCAACCTGCACTACATAGTGAGTTCAAGGCCAGCCTGAACGATAAAGAGAAACTCTGTTTCAAAATCAAGCAAACATAAATGCCCTGCTTAAAAGTACCGCCACCCCGCAAAGTAGCTCCAAAGCTAAACATGATACTGCACCTTTCAAATTGCATTAAGACTCTCAATTTACAGCTAAAAATCAAATGATGGAGGTAGAAATAAATAAGTGCTTTCAATTCTGACTCGTTTCAGGAAGCTATGACCAAAATTACTATTTTATAAATGAGGAAACTGAAGCTCACTAATATTAAATCCTTCCTCAAGGTCAGAAAATTATTTAGTAGCACAGTTGGGACTATCTCAGTTCTAGCCAACCAGATAACATCTGAATGACACCTCTTTGGGAATAGAAATTTTAATGTGTGGGGACAAATTCTGGGACTCAATTATTCTGCATAGGAAAGGAATTTCCCATACCTTTGGCAACCATATAGGGGCACTTTTTATAAGACATTCCATTTTTCTAGAGGAAAGAAGAAAGCTCTCTTCCTCAAGGAAACTGAGCTAATTACTGATTTCTTTGCCCCAAGATATTTCTTAAATGAGGATTTTAGAAGAGAACGGGCAACTACAGTACAAAGACAATACTATAAAGTGAAGACATAATATAGTCATCCACTCAGTGAGCTGCCTTTAGGGTGACTACAGGAAAGGGCAGGGGGGGAGCGCTCTTATTTCTTCTAACTTACAGTCTTTCTGCTGCAACCCTAATGTACTGTTGTCATTATTTTAGGGAAGGCACCCGTGCTTCCAACATCCCATTCAAAAGTTGCTTTAAAATCAGAACAATGGATTGCCTAGGAGGACTTCAGGAAAGGGTGGTGGAAGAGATGGTGGCCTTTCTCGGAGTTTAAGGGGAGCCTCGTCTCCTGAAAACTAGTGGAGGCTGATAGGATGGGGCATCTCACCTGGTCAAGGAGCATCACTGAGGATTTGATGATCTCCCTCCACTTTTGGAGCTCAGTATCGTGGTACTTTTGTTGGGACTCTAAGAGCTGGGCCCATTCTGTCTGAGATTGGGGTAACCTGTGGGGCAGAAGAAGGGGCACCCCAGCAGCTGGAGTTATGCTCAGCAGACTGTCCTGTGCTCCCAGACCCCTAAAGGACAGAGAGTCACATCAGAGTGCTTTGTTCTCTGCCCACTGCCCCTGGGACTCCCATGCCCAAAAAAGAAGTGGACGGGAACTATAGGGACAGATATTTGGAGCTTGCCTAAGAGCTCATCCAAAGGGCTGTCCCCTGGGCAAGGGCAGTGGGGCAGTCCCAGGGGAGGCAGAAGCCAGGGCTCAGCACTTGGTGGGGTATAGGTGTGTGTGTGATACAGGTACAGGAGTGTGGCCAAGATTACCTTTCTTGGAGCCTCAGACCCTGCCAGGCAGTGAGGGTCTGGGTAGTGTATTCTAACATCCAGAGTTTATAGAAGAGCATCATGTTAAGGATGACCAGCAGCACCAGACTAGGAGAGAGACACAGGAAAAAAGCAGGAGCAATGAGATGGAATCTGAGTCAGGGACCTCCCCACCCCCAGGCTGCTGTGTCAGCCCAGTGGGCCTTCGGACGCATTTCAGTGAGGGAATGAGTAAGCTGAAGGGACGAAGGGAGGGGCAGAGAGAAAAGCATCCTAATCTCCCAGAGGGGCCAGGACACACAGCAGGACAGCCACGGAAAGGAGTGTAAGGTGAAGGCACTGAAAGTGGAGACACACAGACACCTGAAATCTGGGTGCCTGGGCAAAGGAGGTAAGTGGAAAGGAAACACGATGAGGGTGTCAAACAGTCAGTACCTGAAACAGATCCTAATGGGAGCAAGGAAGAAAAATGGGGAGGAGGCAGAGGTTAGAAAGGAGAATATGGGAAAGGGGAAAACTGCACTTAAATTGAGCCAGTGAGGAAGTGAGCATATAAGAAATACTAAAAGGGAAGACACAGTGTATGAGAAGACCCAGAAAGGAAGGGGCAAGAGGAAGTGAAAAGGATTAACTCCTAGGGTTTCATGGAGATTTTCTGGCCAACTTGATCTTAGGAAGGAGGACTCATAGGATCCCCAGTTCTGCTGGCACAGGCCTTATGGGTGCTGGCAGAACCTCCCTAAAGCTGCAAAGCCCCTGCAAACACCTGCCCCCGTCTACCAGGGATCGTGGGAACCAGCCGAGGCCTCCCAGAGTCTCAGTCAGAATGTGCTGGACACAGGGAAGACAAGGCGGACCCGTTGGAAAGCGGAGAATTACAGAGTAGGTGTGGGACGGAGAGAGAACACCAGGGTACAGAGAGCATCTAGAGACACAAAAGTGGCACAAATCTAGGATCACCACTTAATTTCTTAACTTTTGACCAAGTTTCCCAGCTTCTTTGAAACCCAGTTTTCCCATTAAGGACATAATCCCTACCCTACTGGGTTGCCCTGTGGATGAGGAAGAACAGATGCAAAACACTGTGGTGAGGAGTAGGCCGGCCACAGAGTGGAGGCAGATACACATAGGAAGGAAGAAGGTGACCAAAACAGGGAGGTAAAACAAACAGGTGGGGAAAAAAAGGTGAGTGAAGGGGAAGAAAGCTTTCACTGAGCCTTAGACTTTCCAAAGAGTATGTATGAGAGTGACTTTTTGTTTGTGTTTCTGGTACTGCAGAAGGGAGTCTTGCTTCAACCACCAGCCACAAATCCCTGGGGCTTTTCTCTGAGTTTTCCACAGCACTTCTCTGAAGTTTGTGTTGAATTTCAGTGATACTGAATTACATTCTAATGCAGCAAATGAGCGGAAAGCCCACCTCTTCACCACGTTGTTCCTGTAATCTGGGTTTGTGTTTACAATCCTGAGTGTGGCAGGAGAAGGTCCAGGGAGGCCCCTGGGTGCTGTGGTAGGAAGGAAGCCCCAAGGGTAGCTGACACCTCGCTCTCCCCACTCAATGGGGAGTGGGGGTACGTTCCCACCCAAATCAAAATGCAGAGAGCTTAAACAGCACTGACCTGAAGTTAAACTTTTCTATTTACCAAAAGATCCAATATCAAATGTAGTTTTAACAGAACAATGCCACACAGCACATTACATTGCTGCTGCAAAATTACTCTTGCTGCTTCTATAGCTGTCTTTGTATTTATTAATGTCATAATACTGTAATGACTTGGTTTCTTATGCTACAGAAAAAATTTCCATCTAACTTTATGTTATGCTCTCGAGTAAGGTTAGTTAAGATTCTTCTTGTTACTCCCAGGCTTTTCTCGTGTAAGGGGTCCCCGGAGTCATCTATGGCCCCGTCTCTGTAACACTCTGTACACTAGTCCATTCATGCCCATGGCTTTAGCACTGTGGATAATTAGTGTGGTTCCTAAGGAACAGATCCACATCAACAAATACCCATCACCTTCCTGCACAACATGTAGCAATCCGGACACTCCTGGAGCTGAGGGTGTCTTCTCTAACAACTTTCACCAAATTCTAGACTTCTGTTAACATCATAACCATCTACAGTACCTCAGATCAGTAGCTCACCTCCCTTTGTGGCATAACCAGATGGTTAATGAACCTTCCCCTCTGGAACCTCTCAGTCCTATTCCCTCACCCTGTCTGACAGCCACTCTCACTGAGACCACTGTGGTTGGCTCTGACTGACCTCCCTGTCTCCAGACTTTTTTCTCCAGTCCATCTGCAATATTGTCATAATGCAAGTCTGACCATGTCACTTGTGGGTCTCCGTCAGAGTTTCCGGAAGATAAGGCTGTGCCCCTGGCTCTGCCTCTCTGCAAAAGCTTCAGAGAGGACTAGGAGGTCATAGAAGCAGGACCGGACCCCAGATGGCCTGATGCCCACTGTGCAGCAGGGAGAATCCATGTCTGGGCAGCTGCTGTGCCTCCCAGCCACCCATGACACCCCCATCCAAAGAAGGGGAAGGATGTCGGACAGTGGGCTGAATCAAGTGGAAGAGCTGTCCTTGGCTGTCCTAGCTGCCTCCTGCTCAATATGGTTTATAAAAGTTCTGGGCAAGCACCGGCAGTGGACTTACACACTAGAGAACTAGCTGTGACCTCCTATTTTCTATCGTCATTACTCTGACTTCCCACGACCTTGGCTTGGTAACATTCTGTGAAAATTATTGAACTTATGGTTTTATAATGCTGTAGGTTTACATCATATCATTTACATTAAAATAAGCACCTACTTGTCCTGGACTGTAGTTATCGATTTTGTCCATTGACTCTGGAAAAGTAAGGGATCCACTAATTCATGGTTCTAGTACCTGGCACTGAACAACACCCAAAACGTCTCTTGAAAATGAATAGACTCCTAACATGCTCTGCAGCAGCTCTGTGTTGGTGTTATTTGTCCTACTGAGTAGGGGTTTCAGGTGTCCTGTCTCTCTCACCCACTTGATCCTGAGCTCCTAAAAGGCATGGATGCTGTGTATGGCATTTTGGGGGGAAGCCAGGGGTAGCCTAGCATACAATAAATGCCGAGTAAAACAGAAGAAGAAAAGATGTAAGAAATGACAAACAGCAATGGATTCAGACAGAGAGGACTAGAGGACAAAAAAACAAAAAGCAAAGAAGAGGGAAAGGTGTAAAGGGGCTCAAGCAATACTCTGAGGGATGGGCGGGGTGGGGGGATTTTCCTTCTCCAGACAGGAAAGGGAAGATGTGGGGCAGGGTTGGACCTAGAGATAGAGTCCTTACACACAGCTGATAACCAGCAGCAGCTTGGACACACTCTGCAGGTGGAAGCCATTGGGCGTGTCCTCAGGGATGTGCCTTGTCTGCGTGGAACCTGTAGGAGAATAAACATGGTCAGTGGTCATTGTCCTGGCCCACAAGCGCATTAACTGCTGACACTGCCCAAGCGACCCTCCCAGCCCTGCAATGGTGGCAGGAGAACTCTTCAAGGGAGGAGGGCCTGGCTGTCAGGCAATTAGTGAACGAATGAGAAACTCAACAGACCTAACTAGCTAGACTGCACAGGACAAAGTGATCTTTGGCTAAAGAAGAGGAAGGGTTCAGGGACAGGACCAAAGGCAGCTGGTTTCCAGGCCTGGTTTTATCATGGCCAGCAAGTCACCTAACCTCTCTGAGAATCAGTTTATTTGAATGCAGCATCAGTCAGAAACAGTATGGATAAAACACGTAACAGGAGTGCTCTGGTTGAGGTGAGGAAACAGGACACAGAAGCCTGGCCTTATCCTCCCCTTCATCTGCCTGCTCCCTGTCCCCCCATGCAGTCTGACGTACTCACAGCAATGTGCAGAGCACAGTTTGTGAAATATGGATTTGTCCACCTCTGGGCCCCTCATAGCCCCAGAATTCTCTGACTGATATGAGACAATGCTATGCATGGCTGGATGGGAAGAGGAAGACCCCTACTGGGCTTGTGGGGACCAAGGGACTAGTGATTGCTTTAGACTCCCCAATCTTTGGGTTATAAATTAACCTCTTGGAAGTGGCTTTTGGCTTCTTCTTAGTGTCATTTCCCAAGAACATGGATGCTGCATACTGGAGCCTATCCAGGCAGCATGAGAGCTTAGGCAAAAGAATCCCAAAGGGAAACTTTGTTAAGCAGAACATATAAGGGTTTAGCAGTGGCTGGAGAACACAGGGCAAAGGGAAGTAGACAGAGCATCAGGAACCTCAGATTTAGTGAGCTGCACTGAAACCATGTAAGGCTCACACCCAAGGCGTAGAATGATCATGCACACATGCCGTGGCATGGGCAGACGGCTCCAGATCGAAGCTCCCAAAGCGCACCATCCAGCTCCACCCGGAACACACCTGCCACATGCTTGATCCGGTGGCCCACATCTTCATCAGTCGGGGTGGTGACTGGGCTCATCACCTCTTCTAGGTGAGGCACCCTCAGGTGGGCATGGGGACGCTTCCTCCTCCGCACCGTTGGGGGCTTGCCGGCCTTCTCCTTGGGAGACTGCCTGTGCATCTCAGCCAGGTAGGTGCTCTCCGTTTTGGTGAGCTCACTCTCTAGCAGAGACAGAAGGGCCACAAGAGACGCCACCTTCTCATACCTTCAACCCAACACTAGGGCCTCCAGAAAATTTTCTATGGGGACAATTTTTCTATTCTGTACCCTAGGAAGTTGGCCAGCTTGCCAAATGACCCTTAGGGATGCCTGTAGGAAGTAATTCTGGGGTCCAGCACTACTAAACCCCTCCTCTGGGTTCAAAATTGTCTACAGCCATATGCACCAATACCTGTACACATGTATTTGATGCAGATATAGATTTGACAACATCACATACTTCTGCACTTGATCTGAGTCAAAAGGCTGAGAAGCAATGTATCACACACTTCTGAAACAGATGTATTCACAAGCGATTCAAAGCTCTCAAAAAATTACCACCACCACCAGTGTCACTAGAGGCGCATGGGGGTGGGTATTATACACATCTTAATTATCTCTTAAGGATATAAACAATCTTTTGAAAAGTGCACATGTCCACATACATGTTCAGTTGGTATCTACTGTGGGGGCAGACACGGGGACCCCATGCAGTCACTTCACTGTCTCTCCCTTCACTGTCCACTCCCCAGCATTTCCCACTCCCCTGCATAATGACAGCTGCATAGTTCACCATTTCTGCAGCTCAGTCACCAGTGATTATAGCACCCACCTAAGTGTCGAAAGTAGTCCTCCAGCCCACTCCAGAAGTTCTTCTCAATGAAGGTTTTCACTAATCCCCAGGGCTGTTTTCGATAGCGCAGCTCTGTGGAGACCCTGAGGAACAAGCCGAAAACAAGATCTTTATTTGCTGGGCAGACCCTCCACTGCCAGGAAAAGGGAAATTCACATTAATGCTCAAGGCAGCCAAGCATTTGTATTTTATTTTAGAAGTTCATAACTCCTTTCACCTCTGCCAAACCATCTTCTCTCACTGACCAGAGGAGGTAGTAGATTTATTCTCATTTTATAGTTGAAAAGACAAAGGTTCTGAATATTTGAGCAGGCCAAAGGCTAACAAGGGCTCTTACTCCAAGCCCAGAACTGTTTCATGATCCCACACTGTCCTGCCCATGGGGCTCCAGATGGTGCCAGGCTGCCTGCCATCCAGACAAGCAAAAGCTCAGAACTGAGGTCAAATTCTTTAAATCCACATCAAGCTCTTGGGTCTCATCACTCTCACTTTTAAGAATATCCTCTGCTCCTAGCCCTAGCATCTGTCTCTCCACTGCACGACAACCTCTCCAGCCCTTGCTTTTCTCTACACATTCTTTCTTTCTTGTCACTAGTTCAGCCGTTGCCCATACCTCTTGCAGCATGGGCTTCTCCCCACCTGTACAGGAGCCTTGCTCTTTGCTTCCTCCTCAGGTGACTGTGTTTGTGCCAAAAGATCCTCCCAGCTCACAATCCCTGTGTGCAAGGCTGCCTGCCCTGCCTGGACCCTCCTGAAGGCTGCTACCCTCACCCAGGCCTGATGGGGAAATGCTCACACTGAGCCACCTGGCTTCACATACAACTCCTGTTCATTGGATGGAGCAAAGACTCATCCCTGTGATGTTCTAACCAAGTCCACCAACCAGCCTGTGTGAACTGCACAGAGAGATGTGTGACTGGGAGATCTTCTGAGGAGTGTGGAGTTCAGAACCCCAGGCACTGGGGTGGGGGTGGGGGTGGCAGGAGGAGAGAGAGAACACAGGAAGGAGGAAGAGAAGTTTGAGGGAAGGGAAGGTTATAAAGACCAGGGAGCAGCGTAAAACCCTCATCCCTGAAGAAAAATGAACAAATAAAAACTAAGAGGATGAGAAAGAGGCAGGCTCTTCTTTAGGTTCAAGTACTTAGCTCTTCTTGATTTTTACAAGATCTCTGTGTAACTCTTCACTTAACTCCTATTTTATTTAAATTATATGAGTGAATTTCTTGCTCGTTACAACCAGAAGAACTCAGCCTATAACACAGATAAACAATGTAATGATTTTCAAGTGGGTATGTGTCTTGAGCTTTCAATTAGACCACAGGCTTCTTCAAACATCAGGGTCTGCATTTTCTCCTTCCTGTGCATGCATATCACAATGTCCAAAACTGAGTATTCATCCCTCAATACTTTCTGGACTCTGACCTGAAAAAGTTCCAAGCCAAGAGATGGCAATAAAGTGTTCGGTGGGCTGGGACTCCTAGCAGGTAGACAACAGGAAATCACAACACACTCAGCATGGGGCAGAGAGCATAGGCTTTTGCTTCTAAGAACTCAGTTTCAGTACTTATTGGGGCTGTGACTCTTTGCAAAGGTACGCATCTGAATTCTGACAATAAATCCACCTTCTGGGGTCATTCTAAAGATTCCAGTGAATATAGAGAAGGCACCTAGAGTGTACTGAATAAATCACTCAAACTACTACAGAGTGGAAGTGATAAAGGTCTCACTAAGAGTTGTACAGAATGGTTAAGGGAACATGCAGTGAAGAGAAAAATGAGTTGTCAAGACAGGGAGGTAACAAGCTCAGAAGGCTTTTGTGAGAAGATAAATCAAGAGTCAGCAGGCAAATTCACAAGCTCCCTCTCCCTCAGGAGCAATGGGACATGATCTAAAGACCCATCTGTACCCACTTGGGCCCTCGAAAACCCCGCACCTGAGTCGACTCTTGTTGCGGGCCACACGGGTGAGTGTGTAGCGATTGACTGTGTAGAAGTAGTCATGGTAGGGCACATCATGCGTGAGAACTTCCGCGTCTATCACGTAGCATTCACTCTCCTGGCTCGCCTTGTACATGGTCTGTGGGGAGGGAAAGCCTATTGGCCAAAACTGAAGAGAAGCAAAACGGAAAAGCACCTTCTCGAATTTCCCCACCCTACCCCAGGACTGCTGAAGGGAAGACATGGAACCTCTGGAGATGGCAGCAAACTTGCACCCAGAGACATCTTCTGACCACTCGACCTTCGTCCTTCACACCAGAACAGAACTTCCTGGCCCACTCTTAGCTGCCACTGACCTCTCTGTACTCACCTGTGTCTCCCTGACGGTGGCAGTTTTGGGAGCCAAAGGGTTGGTAAGGGTCATAGTGTACAGAATCACTCGGCTCTGGTTCCCATTCTCTTCCTTCTTCCATGGATGGAAGATAATATCTGAGGGAAGAAGGGGGCCCCGGAGTGAGGAAGGGAAAGCAACGCCATTCCCTGCGTCTGGATCTCCCTTCCAATCAACTTCTACCACCAGCACCCCCACCCCAGGAAGCCAATGGGAGCCCAAGGACCGGCGGGGGCAGGGGGAGGTCAGAGCAGAAAGAGGCTCATTGTAGCATTGCCGAGATTCTACACGGGGCTCCAGAATGCTAATTGTTCCCAGGCTGGGGCAGGAGGTCCTGAGGCCACCTAGGGGGTGTTGGCAACACTGGAGTTACTGTGGCAAGGGCCTGGAATCCCTTGGGAATGAGTCCTCTCCTCCAGGGTATGACCTCCCTGTGTCCTTAGCACGTCCTCTTCCAGCAAAGGGGCTCACTGCTGCCCCAGTGTTTTTCCCCAGTTCTGCTGGGTCAGTGCCATGTCCCTGATGGTGGAGAACTGGGGTACAGGAAGAAAACAGGACCATGGATAGTGTATGAACTTTTTGAGGTCCTAGAAATGAATGCTTGCTCAGCCCTTCTTAGCTACATTATGCGGTCCAGTAATAGAAACCAGGGTTTCAGCTTCCTGAAACATCAGTGCTGGGTACCCCAGGACCTGCACATGACAGCTGTGAGGACTGAATGAGATGACACCATGAGCTTGGCACAGAGGGGCACCTTGTAGTGATTGGGAGCTGCTGCCCTGGACTGGACAGAGACTGCCCAGGAGGGCAGAGACCTGAGGGAAGGGCCTGCGTCTGTGGGGCCTGATGACAGATGCTGTAGTAAAGATGCTTCACTGGGGAAAAGGGACAGACAGCCCTAAAGGAGCTCCCACTCCAGGTAAGGCCAAGTGGCATCTGGACCACTAAGTGCCCTGGGAGAGGAGAGAGAATGTGTGGGGAAAGGGGGGAAGGAGGAAGGAGAAGGAGAAAAGAGATACTCAGGGAGTTGGCCAGTTCTGTAGAACAGACCAGAGAAGCGCCGCTGCTCCATGAAGTCCCGCAGGAAGGGCGATGTGGTGAAGAGCAGGTCATAGAGTTTGTCCACACTGAAGTTGAAGACTTCATTCACATACTGCCGGCCACTCAGGTCCTCATAGAAGGCCTGCACTTCCCCTGCGTGGAAGACACAGGAAGAGGACGTGAGTGCTGGTGGAGGAGGTCGGGAGGCCCCAGGGACATTCCCAGAGCATGGATGGCGGCCACCCAGACCAAGGGTAGGGGGTAGGGTAGCTGAGCTCGTGGCCTGCACCATTTATAACTTTTCCTCTACCACTTTCCTTCCCTGGAAACACAGGTCATTTACTCTAGCAGGCACTGTCCATTCATTCTTTACAAAGAGTCTGGGAATGTACTGCAACAGAATGTATTGCAGAAACATTCTGAGAAATGAATCATTTAGGCAATCTCTTCTTTGTGTGAATATCAGTTTACTTACACAAAATAAGATGCTCCCGTGTCACTAGGCATGATATCTTACGGGAATACCTTTGTATATGCAGCCAGTGTGGTTAGAGGGCACAAGACTGTATTTGTTTTTATACTTTCAAACCTCACTAAGATGACTGCAAACTAAACTCCAAACAAATGACTAGTTCCTGACATTACCTGCCCTCAAAGGATGCATTACTGAGAGTCTACAGGTTAGCCACAATTGACAACAAATGGCACTGTGACCCCTGCCACAGGTGGATTCAGGAGCTGCCAATTATTCTGGAATGATCAGAGAAAAGCTTCTAAGGCTGGGCTGGCCCCAAGGATGTAATGTTTAACCACGAAAGACATCTTATATCCCTCATGATTTCAATACCCCCCGTCCTTTAGAAATAAAAGCTCAAGCTTACAGCTTCATTACAGCAAAAGAGTAAATCAGAATGAGCCGGAGAGAAAGACATAGAGCACGGTCCAGATGGTTCCAAAAGCAAAGCATCCTTCATCAGCAGGGGTGCCAAACCCACCTGGCACAACAATGTGACAACATATAGAGCACTGCTAACCAGGGAATCTCATTTGTAATCTTCAGAACTTTCTTTGTGCTGTTGGAGAATGTCTGAGGGTACAGGCGAGCTGCTGGGTCTCAGTGCTCCACTGAAGCCCTGAGCACCCTACAGTACCTAATGATTGCCACTTGCATGGGCTGGGATGTGACCTCAAACAGGAAGGAGACTGACATTTCTGACTCCCCTAGGATCCAGAGACAGGAGTTCACACAGAGACAGTGCCTGTGACTACACAGATTGGGCACGGTACAAACACAGTGGAGGGTGTTCACGTCTTGGTTTATGTGAACAGCAATCCTGATGTTCGGCAGTACCCAAGCTGTGCAGTCATTTGCACTGATCCTGGATCCTAGATGGACGGGGTCGGCAAGCCAACCAAAGGTTAAAAACCCATCACAGGAGACCTCTAGAAGAGATTTGTCCACAGTTTAATAATAAGTCAATGTGTCTGTACCTACTCACTAGAAATAACCTACCACCAATTCAATGGAGGAAAACCAGCAACTAATGTCATAAATACTGAGGCTTTGGTTTCTCTCCGTGGAATATAAGAAGCAGCAAGTTCTTGAGTGAGCCCTGGTAGGTAACACTGTGCAGAAGTGAAAAATGGAGTCCCTACTTATAGTAGGAGAAGGGGAGTCTCCGAAGTCCATTTTACCCAGCAACACCTTTCTCTCTACTCTTGGCTAAAACAAATCTTGCAGTCATTTTAAGGGGGTTTCTATTAAAATCTATCTCCAAAGAGCAGCTGACAGATAGCTTTTCTTGTGGCACTAAACACTGCCTTGTCTTGTGTGTCCGAGAGGGACAGAGCCACAGGGCAAGCCAGTGTCACAGGAGGGTAAATTTTATGTCAAGTGCAGATGGCAGGACAAAAGATTCTTTGTTGAGCAAGAAAAGACAAATATAGAATGATGAGGGTCCTGCAGTATATACTCTAAAAAGGGATGTATGCAAATAACAAATGTACCTTTTTAAGAAAAAGCTGTGATACCCACCCCTCCACCAGGAACCTATATTCTGACCCCAGTCTTACGCAGAGACTCCTGTTAAGCCTTCAAAATGAGAGAGGAAGGGAGTCTGGAGACCCACATTCAAATGCTCACCTTCGTCGTGGGTGTCCGAAGAGTCACTGAGCTCAGTGGGAATGTCCTCATTGTCATTAAAGTCCAAGGAAGGGGAGTTCACGGGTGGGATGATCTCAATCTTGTCCCCAATGATGTTGTCAATGGCAAGCTCCTTCTCCAGAGACCCATCGCCCTCCAGCACCTCTTCCTCCAGAGGCAGGCCGTCAAACTGCAGGGGACACTGAGGAGTCACCTACCAGGGGCCACTTGATTGGACCTACTTGCCATAGGGAGACCAGGGCATGGCCCTTGGAAGTGCTCATTCCCAACACAGCTCTCAGGAGCCAGCCTGGAATCAGGTGCTGGGCTCTGGCTGGGGTAGCAGGCAAGCAAACATGGCATAAGGTGCTGCCACCCTTTGTGCTGGCCACTCAATGGGCACACTGAGCCCACAGGTGCACAGAGGTAGCACCAACAGGTCCAGGTTCTGCCTGGGCCACACCTCCACCATGCTGTGACAGTATCAATCTGACTCTAGGCAGTGCCATTTTTTTTTTGCTACAGAACTTAGAAGGCATCACAGGCATTTTCTGGATTCATTTCCCCATTAGCCCTGGAAGAGAATCAATATAGTCCTTTACATTGCAAAGACAACCTCATAGAGAAAATGAGGATTAAGCATTGAATGAAAGATGTCTAAGGTGCATGACTGAATGATGTCTCTCAGGTGGCCTGACTCCTTAACCACTAGATACAAGACTCCTATTTCTGTGAGTCCTTTCTGTGAACCCCCACACCCCTTCTACCTCCTAGCCATGACCCAACTCTCTTTCTTCATCAAGGTTCTATCTTCTCTTTAATAATGCCCCCAAGGACAGAGATCCTTGATACCATTGTAGCCTCCATAAAATGTAGCACAGTGGAAAAATACACTACAAAGGACCTCAATAAATATTAATCAAATAGGTGTATAAAAAATAAACTGTTCTACAGCTGAGGCCACAATGGTCCTGTGACGATGTGACACTCAAGGGCAAGATTACATCAGCTGAAGACATCTTGGTTATTTGAGAACCAAGTAATACAAAAAGAGAAAGGTTTCACATGGGGAGGGACAAGTTCCTTATCCACTTAACTCATCCCACCCACAGTTGTAAGAATGTTTTGCTCATTTCACCATCCTAATCAACTTAAACTCCTCATTTACCTAAGATCCTCATCATTATAGGTTTACTGCTATCCTCCAAGTCATCAGATACTTCCTCCAATTATAACACCCTGTCAGTTTAGGATTATTGCCACCCTCTGAGTCATCTGATGCTCCCTACGAACCCAATAAATAGCGGAAAGCTCACAAAAAAAAAACTAAAAAAAATGAACTGTTCTTCAGTTCTATATTCACACATAGTTAGGCTCATCTGGAGCAGCCCTCTAAGATCCAAACAGAACAGTGGATTTGGCACAGTCTTTATCTTCTTGGAAGTTAAACCAATCACATAACCCAGGGCACTAAGAGCCCCGCTCTGGACCCGGTGACCACACCACTGGAGTACAGAGAGCCATGCACTCCAGGATATTGCCTTAAACAAACTGACCACAAAGAACCTGCATCCCTCTAACTGCTCCCCTGGTTGGGCTACTGTGGAGTTAACTAAGTTGGGTCAGGAGAGTGACCAGGACTGACTATCCATACCGAGACAGGGGCTTCACTGCTCCCTGTGGAGGTCAGAGTGCTGTTGGTGATGGATTTCTTGGGCAGCTGTGGGCTGGCATCTGGCTTGGTCTCTATGCTGCTTTTAGATGAGCTGTCATTCACTTCATTCTCTTCTACAGGAATCTCCTCGCAGTAGCTGGAGAAGACACCAGGAGCCTATGTTAGTCTCAGTGGTCAAAACTGCTAGCTAGTCAAAGAACCTCAGACTTGTCCATTCCATCCAGAACTATGGGCTTTCCTCCTTCTTTATTTTCTACATAATGTTCTTCTAACCAGAAATCTGGCCCCTTATTGCTTTCCTGACACCTCACTTCCACAGATTTACCCCTACCTAAAGACCATTAACTAAATATGACCATTATTCATCTTAACCTATTTTCTCCCAGCAGGTCCATCCCATCTTGGTCCTTTGAATCAAATACCTCGGTTCTGAGCAGACATTTCAGTTTCCAAATATTGACCAAGATAGGACTCTGGACCCAAGTACTCCCTAGGTGGTACTGTCAAAACTCTGGTCCTAACTGATAAACTTTTCTGCATTGTATGCCTAGTGAGAAATCTCCTTAAAATTAAAGTCAGTGCTCTTCTAGGGATACTCCAGGAGTACAGTACGAGCAACTACTATCTTTGTAGCCATCAAAGAGGTCAACATCTGACTAGTACTTTCTATATCGCTTGGAGGTACAATTCTAAGTAAATCACTAGGTGCATTTTAGAAACAATCATGCAGGTATTCAAAGAGTTTAAATGATGCCATTATTAAACAGCAGTGTTTGTCACCAAGCCAGGGTATAGTACATACTCGATGCTCTTTCCTTGCCTTCTATTCCTCCAGCCTCTCTCACTGACAACCAGCCTCTGCCTACCCTTCCCTCTCAAGCATTCTCTGTCTGTGAGTCAAAGTGTTGTCCCCATCTTCCCTACTCTACCACTATGCAGTACCATGATACTCCTTAACACCCTGCTCCTAAACAGAAAATGGTCTTTCCAGATCTCTATTGTGCTTCTTCATGTTTTCATGTGCCCCTGACCCCAGTTCCTGAATTTCCTTTCATGGTCACTGAATCACTTTGAGGTTTCAGCCAATCTGATAGCTATCAACTAGTAGCACCCAAGTTTATGGCCCTAGCCCAGACTTTCCTACAAACTCCGCACTCATTCCGAAATGCCCACTTGACCTCTCCACTTGGCCAACTACCATCTCAGTCTCCACTTGCCTAAGATCAGCCTTCTAAGATCAGCTCAAAACTGTTCTACCTATAGTATTGTCCACATCAGTTTGGAACAACTATCCTTCCAGATGGTAAAACCAAAATACCATCTTTGATTCCTTTATGATTTAACAGCATATCCTTCAAAATACAAATCCAGAAAATGTATCAGGAAACACTGATATTTCTCCTACTACCTTCCATTCCAAACCACCACCATCCCTCACCTAAGTTATCTAAATTATACAACGGCCTCTTAACAGGTCTCTCTACTTTGGCGCTTATTCCCCTTCGATGTATTTCCAACACAGGGCAGAGTAATCTTGTTAAAATACTAAGTGAGAATTTATCCATGATCTATCTACCCCAAACCATCCAACTCTGAACAAAAGCCAATCATCATGTTGGCCAAAAGCCCATGCCCCTTTGGCCTCCCTGACCACCTCTTCCTTCTTTGTTCTGAAGCCACACAGGCCTTTTGGCTGCTCCCTCTGCTAAAGAGGTCTTCACATCAAAGCCCCAAAACTCATCTCTTGGTGAGAGGCCCTGCTTAGATGCCTGGATGCCACATTCCCACTGAGTTCTTCACTGACCTCTTAACCTGGAGTTTCCCCAGCCTCACTCACCCCATCGTATTGAAGTCATCATCTGGGGGAACATAGTCCTCGTCATCACTGGTCAGGCCCAGTTCATTCCCGTAACACTGGTGGACGAAGTGCCAGAGTTCCTTGGGGCACAGAGGCTGCAGGGGAGAAGAGCAGCAGCTCTGACCTTCCTCCCTCAGGCCCTCTTGTTCTGCAGAGGCCCTGAGCCAGGCTGGCTCCCTGGGAGTAAAAGTACCCTCTCCCTTGCTACCTCCAGGACAACCTCATCTGCTTCAGGAATCTTCTGCCCAGGAATACAGAGTACAGAAAAACCAGGAATGTGGCTTCTGCTTGCCTATTCCTTCAGGAGAGTTTTGCAGAATGAGATCAACTGAACTCAGGAATGATAACTTCCCTACCTTGTGCTCCTATGAATGAAGTCCAACACCAAGTATAATAAATCCATGTCACACTGGGTTAAGGTGGTCTCACAGCTTCTGTTTGGGAATCTATGGACCCAAAGGCCCCTTCATCTGGTCTTCCACTGACCACAGTAGTCTTCTATGTTAACTGCATCCATACAGGCCCCCAGGTTTGACCTCAGAAGTGGCCCATTCCACAGCTGGAGATTCCTGAGGTTAGAAAAAGTCCTACACTCTCACAATCTAAAGGGCCTCAGTGGTCATCTCCTCCAACCCTCTCTCAACTATGAGAATATTGCTTTCTCTTTCCTAAAATGTAGTCAGTTCGCCTACAGTTCTATGCCCTCGTTCCAGGGTTTTCTTGTGCCATTGGGTTTCTGTGTGCTTTAAAAGCACTGTCCTAAGTCAGTTCTGAGAATTTCCTGAGAAGCAAAAGAAATTCAGGAGAACTAAGATCAGAGGTAGAGACCACAAATGACCCTCACATTTGAAGGAAAGAAAGAAGGTAAGAAGAACTAATATGTTAAAAAGAGGGCAAGTGCATTAAGAGAAAACAACAATTAGTAACTTTTTAAAAAAAATCAAACTTAAAGAATGACTGTACCAGTAGACTTCATAGCTCCTCAAGCCATACTTTCAAGGCATGGTTTAAGAAGTAGGCACTTAGCCAAACACCATGGGCCAGCATTGTTTTCTGATCCAGGAGAACTGCATGGATGGAACAGCAGTTGGCAGCTCTGTCTCTGGATCAGAAGGGTTTGGAGTGGCAGCTGTCTGTCACCCAAGGGAGACATTCCCTTTTCCTTTATTTGGGCCTCTTTCTCCTATCTCTGACCATCTGGGACACTTTTCACCCTGCCTGGGGCACATCTGCTTCCTGTCCAACTACATCCTAGCCTGCTGCACTAAGGATGTCTTCTCTGTGACACCTTCCCTAACCAATTCCGCCTGGCTCAGTCAGTCTGACCACAGGGAGGACAAACACAATTTAGCCAGCCCAAATCTTCAGGTAGAATATGTAACTATTATTTTGTGAGACATTTCAGAGCCATGTGGATGACCCTGTGACTTATTTAGAAATGTCAACAGTTGTGGGCTGAAAATTAAAACCTGCCAGTGGATTCTCAAGCAGATCATCATTTGATTATTAATAAAGGCTAGTAAAGGCAGCTCAGCTCAAAGAAGCTGCTGGGACTTATAACCGGGGCTATGAACTTGCTGAGAAACTCCAAATTAAAAAAAAAAATTACTCAGTTTTCTTCAGATAGTAATTAGTTTGGGCTAGAGTCAAGGCAGATGTGCACATATATTCAAATACATACATATCTATCTTGTTTATATGCTGACTTCACAAGGGAATCATATGTAACTTTCTCCCTCATGTCTCCTTTTCTGGCTTGGGGAGTTTCCCATCTGACAGGAGCTCCCTGAAGGCACAGACCATGACATGCCATTGGGGTCTCTTCCCAGTAAGCCATGGGTGGTTATCTTAACTATCTTAAATTTTCCTATTTTTTGTATTTTTGATGCTGTGGTAATAGGGACTTGCTGAATGGGGTGGATCCTCCCAGGGTTAGGAGATCCCTAGAGATAGAAAACAAGCCATTCATATGCAAACAACCAAGCCAAAGGCTATACCTACCAGTTTCCTTTTTATGTAGTTGACCAAACTCCCCTGCCTTTACTACCACAAGGCCAGGTATTGGCAATTACAGACACTCCCTAGCCCGTGAAGCCTGTGGAAGTGGTTCAAAGCTAGCCACTCCTAAAGGTTCATGACCTGCTTACCCTGCCTGGCCCATGCCCTCTTCTCACTCCCTCTGTGTCCTGACCACGCCTGGTGCTTCCCTGTGTGGACAGGCATGGTATGTTGTCGGTCATGAGACTAAAACCTCTTTCTTTCATGACATTCACTTCTGGGACTGCATGTTTCATCACAACTGGTTAGAACAAACCCTTGTATATTTTAAAACAGTGGAGCCGATGAGCCTGAAGTCACAAGTGCTTTACTCTGGGCAGTGCAGAGAGACACGCACACTACTTTCAGGACTCAGGTCGATATTCCCAATTGGGAAGATGTGTTCCTAGCCCAATTACTATATTCCTTCCTATGTAGAGGTGTCAGCTACTTTGGAGCCAGCCAAAGCTCCTATAAATGCAATCTTCCAGCAGGGATAAGAGCCAAAAGGAAAGAGCACCATGGGTAGATGTACATCCCAAGGCAGAAGGTACAGCTGTGCAGCACTTACCTTTTCAAGGAGAGCATTCTGCCAGAGCCGGAACATCATCATGTATGTCCTATCTCGGGCCCCAAACGAAGTGAAAAAGTGCTAGAATGGGAAAGAAAATGGCCAGGCATATCTGTTAAGACTCAAGACCCCTTGCCTTGAATCTATTAGTCTTCAGACTTTTATAAAAGGTCAAAAACCACAGATTTCACTGTCATAAATTTTATATCCCACATTCTCCCCATACTGCTAAGGACAATTCATGTCTGTTCAGACTCCTCATCCTCTTTTTTTTTTTTTTTTTTTTTTTTTTTTTGGTACCAGGGACCAAACTCAGGCCCTTGCATTTACAAGGCAGGCGGGAACCACTGAGCCAAATCCCCAGCCCATCATCCTCTTGAGATAAGACCAGCTACACTGATAAATAATGATGACTACTTACATTTGTATAGTGTTTTACAATTTAGTATTTTCAAATATGTGATAATATCTTGAGACTGTTTGAAAAGATATTGCTAGGTCACTTTACACATGCGAAAACTGAGGCTCAGAGAGGTTAATGAAGGTGCCCGTAAGCTGTTCTGACTCCAATTCCAGTGTCCTGCCAAACCACCCTCATCCCTGCTCCGCCAACAACCACCCTGCCCACACAGGAGGTGGTTCCTTGAGTCACAGTACCCTTACCTCTCATCCCAGTCTTGTTAGCTTCCAGATTAAGGCAATTCAAGGGCAGGAACACAGGAGCAGGGAAAGTAAAGTAAGGAGTATGGAGTATGAGTGAGTCAGGAGGCCAGAATTCCACTCCACTTACCTTTTCTGAATCAGTGCAAACTTGGATGGCGTTGGGAATGAGGCGAGCTGTTTTTTCTTTAGTCATGGAGCAGATGTCTTTCAAACGGACTGTCAGCTGGCGCCACAACAGGGACAGAGAGTGGATAACAAGAAAGAGGCAGAGTTAGTAGTGTCAGGCAGAGTGTTCACATTAGCACCAGTGCGAACAGAGGAAGGAGACCACAGTCCACATGTTTCTAACCCTTGGAAGAGACCGCCTCAGACAGCATGCTTTACTCCCTTATATAACGGAAGCCACACAGCAAGAGAGTGACTGAGTCTGTTACAGTTGTGGCTGTCTTGATGCTTGGTCTAAAAAGCTTTCTTTTTCATTTCTAAATGTGCCACATCCTGCAGTTTTATGACTCTTACAAAAACAACTAGTGCTGGATGGAGCCATTAAAAAGTCATGTAGGTAATCTTTCTCCACCTTATTTTATAAGACGAGGAAATAGGCAAAGAAAGAATGAACTGACCTAAAATCACAGTTAATTAACTGAAGAACTCAGAAAGTGTGTGAGCCAGTTCTGAGTTCCAAATCCAATGCCCTTTCATTATGTCTTCCCCTGTGATGACTGGTGCCAAATAATCACCTGCATTTGCCAAAAGCAAATGCTCTTTGTGTTTTTTCCACACCCAATATGTGAGAAGGAAGTACATGGCAGTTAAGTTCCTATTTCCGGGACTCAGAATTGGACACTCTGCAGCCTACGTGTGTATTTCTGTTCTCTGTGCAAAGGCTTGGGGAGAACTCAGATTCAGTGAAGGGCAAAAGTGAGGGCAGTCTGCTCAGTCATGGCCAGAGAGGTAGCCCAAGGTGGCCAGTCCCAGGGTTTGAGGGGGCAGGGTACTGGGAACTGAGCCCAGGACAACCTTGCATCTGCTAGGCAAACACTGTACCCCTAAGCTATAGTCCCAACCTGAGTCTCAGGTCTTTACCAGAGTTTCCCAGCGGAAAATGTTGCTGTAGAAGCAAATCCAGTTTTCCGAGAGGTAGAGTCGGCCCTGAAGAAGAATGTCTCTTTGGAGTGCACATGAGTAATCTGTGGTAAGACGTAAGACAGGGAAGCTCAGTGATAGGAAGCATTTTAAACAACACATGGCACAGTGGGCAAGTCACCCCTCCTACTAGTCCTGGGGAAGCCTAGTCCCCTGCCACTAGATGTGTGAGACACCTGAACTAGTGACCAAGAACAAAAGTGCCTGGCATTTCATGATCTAAGTGGAGAGGTGGTGAAAGATGCTATTGCCTAGAGATTCAGCAGAAGAGACCAAAAAAGCTAGGGTAAAGAGGCCAATAAAATTCAATTAACTTCCTCCCCTCAACCTATGATCCAAAGTCCCTTCCAATCTTTGGTCATCTGCAGAGACAACTCCCTCCCTCCATCCAAGGTAGGCTCTGGAGGCTGCCATATAAACAATGCTCATCCCTGAACCCTGAGAGCTGGGCCCAGTGCTCTGGATATCTTTACTGTTACCAAACAAAAACATATTCTTGGTTTGGCACTCAGCTTCTACACAGGGGCAGCCTGATTTCTGTCCCTGGGAATTGCAGACATCCTATCCACCCAATTCACAGATCAACTCACTCACCAACAATGAGGCGCTCCGTGTCTGGAAGTTGCTTAAAGAGCTTTCTGAAGTCTTCATTTCTCTGCTTATAAGTGGGGCTTAACACCTGTGGGACAATGACAAAGGTTAGTGAAATGTACCCAGGTTCTGTGACGTTAGGAAGGTAGGCATGGAGGAGCATGTGCTTATGTGTTAAAAAGGCAAAGATGAGGCTCTGTTACCTGCAGACCCTTGGAGGCCAGGTTAGGAAAGGGAGCTTAGGGGTTGGGGATTTAGCTCAGGGGCACTGTAACTGCCTTGCAAGTGTAAGGTCCTGAGTTAGATCCCTGATACCACAAAAGAAAAAGAAAGAGAGTCTGGGGTGGAAAAACAGTGCAGAGAAGCTGATCTGGCAGAACTTTTTGTATCCAGCATCCATCAATGAGAAAACATTAAAATATGAAGCCAAGTCCATAAAGGTTCCAAAATGAGACAGGAAGGACTGAGTCCTTCAGGAGACTTCCTGGGAGTCACCATGCCAGCTAGTGCTGCTCTGCCTTCTGTATTCCTGACAGGAATGTAGAGACCCAAAGGGACAAACCCTGCCCGCAGCAGGACCAAGGAGAGGGTAAGGCCCAGTGCACCTCTCCGAAGCTGTCATGGTGAACAGAGTTAAGCACCTGACTATGTGCAAAAGACTTGAGTTGAAAAATTAAATAAACATAATTCGTTTACAAATTGCAAAACCAGTCCCAGAAAAAGCACATGGGATAGAAAATTTAAAAGCATGTCTAGCACAAGAAGCACTTGACTTGCCTGTTCATCCTTATAAAATGGTCTACCAATCCTCACAGTACCAAGAAGGAAACTCCTTAGACAAAGGGAAGCCCCAGCCTATGATCAACAACTGGTGGTCATTGGAAGACCTCAGAGATGAGGAACTCTGTTATCTCCAAAGCCTGAGGAGGCTGGGGAAGGAAAGGGGGCTTGGGAAGGAAAAACAGTGCAGAGAATCTGATCCTGCAGCATACTTTACATCTCTCCGTCCCTGATCCTGTGCTCATCTCCCACCACCACCTGAGCCACAGATGCCAGTCTGCTGTTGTCATGGGGCCTTGCACAGGCTCAGATCCATAGACAGCCTTGGCAAATCCTTGGAAATTCCATTAGCCAGCAACATGGACAGAAATCCTGCCCTTTCAGAAGTTACAGTGTGTGTGTGGTGTGGGCACACGTATGTTACTGTGGATTGAACCCAGGGCCTTGTACTAGGTTACATCCCCAGCTCTTATTTTATTATTGATTTTGAGACAGGGTCTCATTAAGTGCATAGGCTGGGCTCAAACTTGCAATCCTCCTGCCTCCCAGAGTGCTGAGTACAATCTTAAAACTAAAAGAATAGATGTGAAAAAGACACATGCTCGTAGACAGAGGATACACAAGGCTGACAAAATGAGCACAACCCAGGGAGAGCCACACATGCAGACAGAGAGACATCTGCACCCCACTCGGTGATGAGCTGACCTACTTATGCAGAAACGAGGCCTCTGACTCTCAGCCAGGAGTGCATGCCTGAGGACAGAGTGTCTCCTGCCTGTGACGCGTGGGTCCTGGCCTTTCACACTTTCTCACCCACTTCCTTGGGAACCCACCGACATAAAGCTGTGATGGTGAGGAACAGCCCTTCAACTACTCGTATTTGGGCTTTCTGTAAAGCTTCGTGGTTCACGAAGCTGAAGCTGGGGTCTGATCACAGCTGCACTGCGCGCTGCCCACCTGAACCACTAAAGAGAAGAGGACATTGGAGCAAAGAAGATGGCACTGGTTTTAGTGCGGGGTTTGCCAAAGGGAACCAAAGAGAAAAGGAGAAGGGAGAGGAAGGAAGGGGAGGAGAGCGCTTTCCATCACTTTGTCCATTTGAATTTCAAGCTTTTTTGTTCTCATCTTATTTACAAAACGAGTTCCACTTGAAATAGCAGGTGCCCTGTTATCTTGGCAAAACAATGTTGTGCTGTCACAGAATGCTAAACTTCCAAAATCACCTGCCATGTGTCTAAACCAGGCATAAGGATCCCTGGAGCTAAACATTTGGAAGGTCATGCATCCCATGATTTCTAAGGCTAAGAAAGACCTCAGACACAACAGTCCTCTGGTCCCTATATTAGTTTCAAACTGGTACCAAGCTATACAGTCCACAGGGGCCCTACAGAGTCCTCTCTGGGGAAACCCTTGCTTGACTGCCTGATCGCCAAGCCCAGGCACAAGCCTGTCACAAGTATCTTTCCAAATGACCTGGTTTCACACTGGAGAAAACCGAGGCCCCAAGAGGTCAAGCGATGTGCCTGAGAACATGGCTACCAGTGGGCACAGAACACAAACCCTGTCTGTATACCAGGAAGGAAATAACAGGGGTTCCCTACAATGGGGCTGTGGGGAGTGGGGGAGCAATCTCTCAGAAGACATCATTTACCTGCTCTGGGCCCCTGCTCCAGCCATGCTCCTTGGTGGCTCTTTATAAAATTCCAGTGTCAGCATGAGAAGCAGCATACCAAGTGGCCCCACGCTCCCTTCAGGTGAAACTCGATATCAGGCATCCAGTTACCTGAAGCCCGCACATTCTCCTATTACTGTGTGTGTGTGTGTGTGTGTGTGTGTGTGTGTGTGTGTGTGTGTGTGATACTAGGAGTTGGACCCGGGCCCTTGCACCAAGCTACATCCCCAGCCCTTTTTCTTATTCGAAGTAGGGTCTTTTGAAGTTGCCCAAGCTGGGCTCAAACTTGTGATCCTCATACTTTCAGAGTCCCAGAGTGCTGGGATTACAGGCACATGCCACCACACCCAGCTACAGCCTCCTATTTCTGGTTTTTCTTCCCTATTGCCTGCACCCCTTTGCTTCTCTCAAATCAAGTGAGACAACTGCTATGACGGAGACGATGGAGACACAAGAAGTCTGGCCACAGTCTCCCAACATGAGCAGACTAAGGGTGCTGCTCCTCTCTTCTGCTTGAAACAAAGTTGCAGCTACGGGAGAGGGCAGGGCAGGACTCCTAAAGACCCCTTACTCCAGGTCTATACACAAATACCCTTACTGCTGGACAGCAGGGCAGCCTCCCTCTATGGAGCACAAAGCACACACACAGCCCATATGCACGCTCACCTAGAGCCCTGTGCCCTCTGGACCCTGGGACTCCAGCCCTCCCATCCCGTTCCCTCTTAAATCAATCTACACAGGTGAGGCATGGCTCACCTATGTAAAATGGCCAAAGACTTCTGGTTCCAGGGTTATCAAACGTGGGTCCTTTGGGTAGCAGAGCCAAGTGCAACATACTAGGATGTATAGAAGGTCAAAGACACAGAGAAATTGGGTCACACACTCACAGCTGGGATTTCCTCAGATCCATGCCAGCAGCAGTGTACAGCACCTGCAGGTTCATCAATAACTCTCTTCAAGTACCACCACAGTGACTGGCTTTCCTGCTCCAGCACGAGGCTCCAGAGAACCCCAGAGTCCATCAAAGATTCCATTGCTCCCCACACTGCCTTTCCCAATGGAGCACAGCTCCTTGTACTCTGATGATCCCCACGCGACGAAAACAAGTGGCTCAGCTTGGACCAAAAGTAGAGAGGTGACCTCTTGCTTCTACGAGGGTCTGTGTGTGACCCTGGCTGATGTCCTTCCTTCTCCCACAGCTGTGTTCTCAGCCAAGAGCTTCACAAATGAGAAGGTATCACCAGAATAGCTCTCTTCTCGGGAGATGTTTGCCAGCCCGTCTCCCACAGCTGGGATCTGCTTTGTCCTTGGCTGGTCTTCAGGCTGAATGCAGCGGAGGGGTGTGGTCAAGCATCTCCTCCCAGTCAGTGCAGGTGATCACCCCAAGAGTCCAGGCGAGATCCGAACACGCAGACACAGCAGGCACACGGCACCAGTGGAGGGCTCTGCAGAGCAGGCTCCAAGTGCACAGGCAAACTTCACAAGAAGAAAAGGGCCCACGCTGGGTCGAGGTCTATCCCCACTGGCTACTCACAGCAACAGAGTGACTCATAGTTAGGGGAAGCTCCAAAGAGGCACTTGGAGTCCCAGCTCCTCAGTCCTGAACCGTCTCACAGAGGGACGTGTTTAAAATCAACATGCAATCTCTACCCAGGGCAGTCACGGGCCACTATGACTCACAGCCCTCACCCAGGCAGAGCAGCCCCCACTCAGCTGTGCAGAGGGCCTGTTGTCATCCACACCCCTGCACACACCCCTTTTTTGCCCAGACCCTTTCAGCTGGCCAGCAAATAACCTCTTTGTTAAAAGTCACCGTGACAGGAGGGAGGGAGGCAAGGCGGGTGGGTGGGCAGGGCCAGAGCCCTGCACATGCTTCAAGTTACAGGATCTGGGTGATGGTCCTGGCCAATGTCCTGCAGTAACCCCTGGCTCCCCAGCAGATGTTTCCTACAATGGAAAGTTGCTGGCCAGGGCTGTGAGTGGGGGAGGGGAGCAGGAGGTGCCAAGGGCATTGCTGCTATGATGAAATCTGAAATTTGAGACTAAAACACTCAGGGACTTCTTGGAGACACCCTCTCCCCTCAGTGACCCATCTATCTACCAGATTTGGAAATTTCATAACTGATCTGGGCTCAGACATGCTGACTAGGGACAAGCTGGACAGAGCATTCAGAGACGCTGAGGTCAGCAGCTTCTCCTTCCTTTCTGAGGACCCTGCCCCAGCTTTGGCACTAGGAGGAGAAGGATCAAGACCAAGTAGATTCCCAGACAGCTGCTCAGATCTTGAGGGCAAACTAGCAATGCTAAGAGCAGAGAACTTGGCCCCAAGTCAAAAAGAGCAACCAAATATATAGAGAGAAGTGGAAACAGGTCACTGGGGGCAGGGAAGCTCAAGATGGGTGAGAAAGCACTGGGGCCAGGATGATGCGGACTCCATGATGTCAGAGCCTTGAAACAAATGGGGCACATCCCTCACCCTCCTCAGTGAGGCCAGCACCCTGGAAGAGTCTCAGGGCCTGGACATGAGAAAGAAAAGTGTCTCCGTCCTAGAAGTCCCCATAATTCAGTAGAGCAGCCCTCAACTTTTAGCATACCTAAAAAGAACCTAGTAAACACAGTAAAGAATGTGGATTCCTCTGTCCCAGACCCAAAGAGGCTAATCAAGAGGAGCCTGGGTCCTCCCAAGTAAACAATGCTGGCCAAAGTATAATAGCTTGAATCCTTCTCCAAACCTAACTCTCTCTCTCTCTCAAGAGACCCTGTGACCACCACCTCTGTCCTTCACACTGGATAACCTACTTGCTTGGACCACCATCCTTCCCAAGGAAGGTCCACGCCTCAGTTTTGTACCCTCTATAGCATTCAGTATGATATGTTTTAAATACCAGGTGCTCAAAAATTATTTGCCAGGTGACTCCTCCACTTCTCCAGCTCTCCTGCTGACATGGCCTTTTATGTGCACAAACCTCACACATGCAGAGAGCCTCGGCTGATATGTCTGGCTTCTTGGGGCTAGTGCCTGCCCACACTCTACCTCCGCTGAGTTTCTCTCTGTCCTGTGGCAGTGCTATCTTCAGCACTGTGCCAGGTGAACATAACAATTCCATTTTTCAGGAATTGTTCAGAATGCCTCTCTGGAGCCACACCACCTCCAAAATACAGGCAGTATATAGATCCAGAGTCTTACGATAGTTTCCTGGAAACATCTGAGTAGAGGCCATCGATAGAGACCAAATGAGATGGTGACTGGGTGAAACAGGAACAATACACACCTAGAGAGATAAGGCCCTGGTGGATGAGTCTCACTCAGCATGCATCAGCTTTTGTTCCTCTACTTCCTCGCCAGGGGCTGGGCAGGGCAGGGTAGGGCAAGAGCCCTAGGAGCAGGAATCGAACCTGGGCTGAATATTAACTCTATGGCAAACACCAGGCACTGGGACGGAGTGGTACTCCGTCCCCACGGTTCAGCAGGAAGGAGGGGGAGAGGGAGCCCGAGGGGAGGGATGGATTTTTGGAAGCAAATTGACCTCACCTAGGAAGAAACCCTGTTAAGATCCAGAGGAAATCCTGGCGCTCCAACCAATCCGGTAGGCAGACGCCAGACGTGGGACAAGGAGATGGGGGAGGTGAATGAGCACAGGACAGGCGTGGGTGCAGTGTGGAAGGGCTGGAAAAAGGGTGGGGTTGGGACAGGGGTTTTATCTGGAGAGGTGCGACCTCTTTGGAGGGAGTTCAGGGCCAGCTGTGTTGTGTTCGAGGAAGTCTTCATATTAGAAGGTAAACAAACCACAGAAGGGTATGGGTGCAGCCAAAGGAAGAGGGGCAGCCAGGCTGTTCATCGCAGCCCCCATTTCAGCTCTCTCACTGTCTCCACTGCCCCAGCCCCATCATTCCACTCTACAAAGCTTTATCCCTTTGCTCTCAAACTTATGCCAGCCAGACTTACTCGGTCATTCCATGGGATTGGCACTTCCCTCCATAAGGCTGGCATCCCCAACAGGGGGCGCATCAGGCAACTCGGGGGCTGTGTCTCTGTCTGCTGCTCAGGACTAGGCTCCTTGGCTGGGCTGCCATAGAGTCGGCAGACACCGCAGCAGTGAGACATGAGACAGAGGAGGCACAGCAAGGACACCTCTGGGACCCTGTCTCACCCAGAGCAAAAACCCACTGGGCCAAGCAGGGCTCACATTCAGGGAGCAGACTGCACCGTTCCGCCCCTCAGGCCATGACCTGGTCACTCTCAACTCCGCCCACGGTTTGCTAAGCAAAGTCCCATCTCTGCTAGCCCTGTATCTCACAGGTACAGCCCCAGCTGGAGGCCTCATGAAATAAAATCCTTGTCAACGCGCCGGCAGGGATAGGGGTTGCAGTGGGGGAAGGAAATACAGGTGTAAGCTGGCCCCAGGGCAGTGGCACAAGGCACGGTCTTCAAACACCTGCTCTTGACCACATGTTTTCCCTCCCAGCCTTCCACCTGTTCCCAGGGCTCAGCGACTCCCCTTCCTGTGACCCACTCTTTAGCTCAAGGTGGTTTGTCATTGTACTGATAGTGCCTCCCCACTAACCATGTAAGAGTAAACGTGCTTGTCTTCTGCAAGCAGGTGGCAGGTGAAGGAAGAGGCTGAGGTGTGGGCGGGGAGGTGGTGAGTAGGTGTCCTTTCACATCAGACTCAGGCCATTGACTCACCTGGACCTCCAAAGCTCCTGCAAGGGTCAGTGCTCTGCAGGGTCCTGGCTGCCACTGGTCTAACTGTATCCAGCTTTGCCCAGGGCTGGGGATTGCAAAGCCTTTGCCTATCTGAAGGGCTTCTAGTACATTAATGAAGCTGAGGCATCAGAGCAACTGGAGCTGACACTAAGCAAGAGAGATCAGAAAGACAACTGTGGGCAAAGCCGAGAAGGGCTGGGTTTCTCCCTGAAGGCCAGATCCCAGCTGGCCCAAGGCAATGCAGGTGAAAGGCAGAGGCCTGCATAGGATGAGGGAAAGCAGAAACCATCAGATCAGCAAGGGTGGGGCATTCCTGAACAAAGCAAGTAACTGCTTGGGAGACTGAGGTATTCAGGGGAAGCTTCTCCATGATGCATCTAAACACAAGAGCGTAACTTGGGATAGTAGGGAGTTCCCCTCCCGAGCAACCCAGTTGTGGTGCTCCTTTGAACTGGCTTCTGCACTACGGCAGTTACTGATTATCCTCTAGAGGTGCCACTTCCCATGACAGAAATACATGGAAGAAACATGAAGAGAAGACAAAACAAGAGACAACAACTGTGCAAAACCCAGGCAGCCCAGGCGGTTGGAGGCCCCTACCTCCTCCTCCTAACATCCACCTTCCTTTCTTACCTCCTCTCTACTCCCTGTACCTGTCCTGCGACAGGACTCCAGTGTGGACCTTCAGCAACTGACCTGGAAGAGTGCAGCCCTAGGCCACAGAGGACAGTACTAGGAGCCATGCAGCAGGCAGAAAAGGGGCTGCCAGGCCCTGGAGGCTGATTTGAAGAAAAGTGAGATTCACTGCTCTCAGGCTTCTCAGAGTACAATAAGGCAGAAATAGTGGCTTGAGCAATGCTCAGCATCTCTGCTGTCATGGGGACCCCTGACTTGTAAGCTCCCTGTCCTCCAGCAAGGAGGTTAAGCATCTCGTAACCTGTCCCACATGGGGCTCTCAGACATGCAGGTCCTGTTAGGCCTCAGACATCAATCAGTCTTACACGTAGGGCTGATGGGGGAGCGGGTGCAGTGGTGTACCCCTGTAATCCCAGCACCGTGGGACGCTGAGGCAGGAGGATTGAAAGTTTAAGCTCAGCTGGGCAAGTTAGCAATTTAGCAAGACACTGACTCAAAATATAAACAAAAACAAATAAAACAGCTGGGAATTTGTTTGCTGCTTTGGCCATGGGTTCAACTCTCAGTACTGGGGCAGGGGAGCAGGGCTGTTAAAACTTGTCGGGCAGAAAGAGAAAGCCAGCAAGAACAGGAACCAGAACCACAGAATGGAAAAGTAAATGAGGGGAAGGAAAGGAAGTAGTGAGTGGGGTCAGAAAGCAAAGGGTAGAGAAAAATTAAAGGAGGAGAAAGAAAAATGAAACAGAAATGGCTGAGCTAAACAGCAATGGAAAGAAAAAGGTACAGGACATTGGTAACCAGGATAAACACCCGCATGGGCTAACCTGGATTGTTTTTAATGTTTAACAGGCCCATAGCTGTGCATTTCCTGTTCCCCTTTAGGGGCACTAGTTCTGCAATGTCACCCAAAAATGGATTAGTGGTAAAAGATGCTGGGCCATGGACAGCACCACAGGATGGGGCTCACAGTCTTCCCTTCTCCTCTCAACTAGAGAGGGTGTCCTCATCCTCTGGATATGAGCTCTGAGCAGCCTGGGAGGCCAAGGACAGGCGACCCACAGGGTGGGTCTAGGGGAGGAGCAGGCAGGAAGAGTCCAGCTTCTCTCCCATCTCAGGCGTCCTAACCTTCATTCAACTCCGATCAGCACAGCTCACCTAGAGCTGAGGCAAGAAATCAGTGAAAAATCACTTAGGACATTAGCCAGGTGTGGTGGCACACAGTTATAGTCCCAGCACTCTGGGAGGCTGAGGCAGGA